GAATGCATTAAGATCCCTCAACAGTCCTAGCTACTATTTGATAAATTTGATCATTTAGACATGTAAATATTCTAAGCAAGCTTTATTTACCTTAAGTTAATCAGTTGAAAATATCCATATAAGGCTATGACAAGGTCTTTGGACTGGGGGAGAAATATAAGTTCTGCTTCCATTGCTAGTTTGTACAAAACTTATTTTCAGAGTAACGAAAATGGTCTGAAATTAGATAGTGGTGATGGTTGCATAGCTTTTGTGAATATACTAAAAATTACTGACCTGTACATTTCAAATAGTAAGAATTACTATATGTAGATTATATCTCAATTAAAATAAATCTGGTCCCAGAAAAAGAAAACCCCCTTGACAGTTCCCTGGGGGAGGGGGGCAGACCAGTCTGCTGAGGTGTGTTTAGGGGGCAGGGGAATGGGGATGACTAGGGAGTGTGTGGGGCGGAAGGGACAGCCCACTGCCCCTGAGAAGTGACCACTGGGTAAAAGTAACAAAGTGGTGGGTAATGGCCTCAAGTGACAATAGGCAGGAGAGTTTAAAAGCGGTCCTGTAGTGGGTAGTTCAGGCACAGACAGATGCCACCGTTTGCACTTCTGAGAAAGAGCACTGCAATTCTGACTAACAGTCAAGTTTATACAATCCGACTTTCTGAGGAAGAGTGCTGGGATTCTGACCAGCAATCAGGGTTAGGGATTCCCGACTTTCTGAGGAAGAGGGCTGGGATTCCGACCAGCAATCAGGGTTAGAGAATCCTGACTTTTTGAGGAAGAGTGCTGTGATTCTGACCAGCAATTGGCAGTAGAGAATCCCGACTTTCTGAGGAAGAGTGCTGGGATTCCGACCAGCAATGGGCATTAGAGAATCCCGACTTTCTGATGAAGAGTGCTGGGATTCCGACCAGTAATCAGGTTTGGAGAATCCCGAATTTCTGAGGAAGAATGCTGGGATTCTGACCAGCAACAGGGGTTAGAGAATCCCAACTTTCTGAGGAAGAGTGCTGGGATTTGGACTAGCAATCCAGGTTATAGAATCCCGACTTTCTGAGGAAGAGTGCTGGGATTCCAACCAGCAATCAGCAGAGTTACAGAATCCCGACTTTCTGAGGAAGAGTGCTGGGATTCCAACCAGCAATCAGGGTTAGAGAATCCTGACTTTCTGAGGAAGAGTGCTGTGATTCCGACCAGCAATCAGCGGGGTTAGAGAATCCCAATTTTCTGAGGAAGAGTGCTGGGATTCTGACCAGCAATCAGGGTTAGAGAATCCTGACTTTCTGAGGAAGAGTGTTGTGATTCTGACCAGCAATTGGCATTAGAGAATCCCGACTTTCTGAGGAAGAGTGCTGGGATTCCGACCAGCAATCAGGTTTAGAGAATCCCGACTTTCTGAGGAAGAATGCTGGGATTCTGACCAGCAACAGGGGTTAGAGAATCCCAACTTTCTCAGGAAGAGTGCTGGGATTCTGACCAGCAATCAGGGTTTAGAGAATCCCAACTTTCTGAGGAAGAGTGCTGGGATTTGGACTAGCAATCCAGGTTATAGAATCCCGACTTTCTCAGGAAGAGTTCTGGGATTCCAACCAGCAATCAGCAGAGTTATATGATCCCGACTTTCTGAGGAAGAGTGCTGGGATTCCGACCTGCAATCAGGGTTAGAGAATCCTGACTTTCTGAGGAAGAGTGCTGTGATTCCGACCAGCAATCAGGGTTAGAGAATCCCGACTTTCTGAGGAAGAGTGCTGGGATTCTGACCAGCAATCAGGGTTAGAGAATCCCGACTATGTGAGAAAGAGTGTTGGGAATCTGACCAGCAATCAGGGTTAGAGATAGGATTCAGACTAGCAATTGGTGGACTTAGAGAATCTCTACTTTCTGAAGAAGAGTGCTGCGATTCCAACCAGCAATCAGGGTTATAGAATTCTGACTTTCTGTGAAGAGTGCTGGGATTCCAACCAGCAATTGGGGTTAGAGAATCCCAACTTTCTGAAGAAGAGTCCAGGGATTCCGACCAGCAATCAGCGGGGTTAGAGAATCCGAATTTTCTGAGGAAGAGTGCTGGGATTCCGACCAGCAATCAGGGTTAGAGAATCCTGACTTTCTGAGGAAAGATGCTGAGATCCGGACCAGCAATCATCTGGGTTAGAGAATCCCAATTTTCTGAGGAAGAGTGCTGGGATTCTGACCAGCAATCAGGGTTAGAGAATCCGGACTTTCTGAGGAAGAGTGCTGGGATTCCTACCAGCAATCATCTGGGTTAGAGAATCCCTACTTTCTGAGGAATAGGGCTGTGATTCCGACCAGCAATCGGGGTTAGAGAACAACGACTTTTTGAAGAACACAGCTGGGATTCCGACCAGCAATCAGGGTTAGAGAATCCCGACTTTCTGAGGAAAAGCGCTGAGATTCAAACCAGCAATCATCTGGGTTAGAGAATCCCGACTTTCTGAGGAAGCGTACTGGGATTCCGACCAGCAATCAGCAGAGTTAGAGAATCCCGACTTTCTGAGGAAGAGTGCTGGGATTCCGACCAGCAATCAGGGTTAGAGAATCCAAACTTTCTGAGGAAGAGTGCTGGGATTCCGACCAGCATTCAGGGTTAAAGAATCCTGACTTTCTGAGGAAAAGTGCTGAGATTCCAACCAGCAATCAAGTTTAGAGAATCTAGACTTTCTGAGGAAGAGTGCTAGGATTCTGACCAGCAATTGGCGGAGTTAGAGAATCTCAACTTTCTGAAGAAGAGTGCTGTGATTCCGACCAGCAATCAGGGTTAGAGAATCCTGACTTTCTGTGAAGAGTGCTGTGATTCTGACCAGCAATCAGGTTTAGAGAATCCTGACTTCTGAGGAAGAGTGCTGGGATTCCGACTAGCCATCAGGGTTAGAGAATACCAACTTTTTGAAGAACAGTGCTAGGATTCCAACCAGCAATCAGGGTTAGAGACTCTTGACTTTCTGAGGAAAGGTGCTGAGATTCCGACCAGCAATCAGTGGGGTTAGAGAATCCCGACTTTCTGAGGACGAGTGCTGGGATTCTGACCAG